GGTGCTACGCCTGCGGGTGCTGAGCTTGGGGGTGCTGCTGCTGGGGGTGTTGAGCCGGGAGGTGCTACGTCAGGAGCTGCTGAGCCTGGGGGTGCTGAGCCTGGAGGTGCGGAGCCTGCGACTGCTGGACCTGGGGGCTCTCCGGTTACTCCGTCTCGGCGGGAGCCGCTCTCTCCATAGGAGCTGCGCGAGTGTTTTGCTCGCCGCTGGAGGCGTGCTGCTGGAGCAGGAGATCCTTCGACTGCTGAGGGTGCTGGTGCTGCCGGTCCCGGAGCTGCTGGGCCTGCGGGTCCTACTGGAGTTGGAGCTGCTGAGCCTGGGGGTGCTGAGTCTGGAGCTGCTGAGCCTGGGGGTGCTGAGTCTGGAGCTGCTGAGCCTGGGGGTGCTGAGTCTGGAGCTGCTGAGCCTGGGGGTGCTGAGTCTGGAGCTGCTGAGCCTGGGGGTGCTGAGTCTAGAGCTGCTGAGCCTTGGGGTGCTACGTCTGGAGCCGCTGAGCCTGGGGTTTCTCCCGGTGCTGTGCCTCGGCAGGAGCCCCTCTCTCCGCAGGAGCTGCGCGAGTGGTTTGCTCGCCGCTGGAGGCGTACTGCTGGAGCTGGAGCTTCTTCGACCATCGAGGGTACTGGTGCCGCCGGTCCCGGAGGTGCTACGCCTGCGGGTCCTATTGGAGCTGGGGCTGCTGAGGGCGTTGGTGCTGAGTCTGCTGCTGTCTGTCCTGCCGGTGGTTCTGCTGCTGGTGCTGCTGGAGATCCTGCCGCTGGAGGTGTTGGTGGCGCTGGTGCTGCCGCTGAGGGTGCTGGTGCTGTCGCTGCTGAGTCTGGAGCTACCGCGCGGCCTCGGTCGTACTTCGTTCCGCTTCTTCAGCAGGTTCTTGGTCTTTCTCCTTCGGTAGAGTCTCCACAGCCTGTCCAGTCGCAGTCACTGTTGGAGCCTACCTCCCCACTGCCTGCTCCCTCTCCTTACACTGGTCCTACTGGAGGTCTTGCTGAGCGTCGTGAGCCTGCGTCTCGTCCCGCGTCGCCTGTTCGTGCTGCCCGCGCTAGTGGTCGTGGTTCGCGTCCGCGTCCTCCTCCTGTCCCTGGCACGCACCGGATGTCTCTGCGTCCGTCCACTGCTCCTCTGCGTGCCCTTTTGCCTTCTCCTCCTGAGTCCTCCCTTCCTGTGCTTTCCGACCCAGAGTCGGACTCCCTTCGTGCTGCCAGTCCTACTGTCACGCGTCTGCTTGCTACTGTCGTCACTGACCCCTCTTTTGAGTCCGCTGCTGCGTCTGCTCTTGTCGCTGAGCTCGTCGACTTTGCTGCTCGCTGCCGTCTAGACTACGCTGCTAGTCTTGTTGCTGAGTCTGCGTCTGTCTGTCCTCCGTCCATCAGGGGTGAGTGTGCTCTTGGCACGGACGTCGTAGAGGACAGGCAGGAGGAGTTCCAGTGTCTGGCTGCTGCTTCACCTCATCTCGCGTCTGTACTGCTTGCTCCTGAGGGAGACCCGGATGCACTAGACATCCCGACTCCGCGCTCTTACGCGGAGGCCGTAGAGGGTCCCTACTCCTCTCAGTGGCAGGCAGCTATGGATGCAGAGATGGCTTCCTGGAAGTCCACAGGCACCTACGTTGACGCGGTTCCCCCTCCTGGGGCGAACATCGTCAGTGGCATGTGGATCTTCAGGGTGAAGCGGCCGCCGGGCTCTCCACCTGTCTTCAAGGCGTGGTACGTCGCTCGTGGCTTCAGTCAGCGACAGGGAGTTGACTACTTTCAGACCTTCTCTCCCACCCCGAAGATGACCACTCTTCGGGTGCTGCTGCACATAGCCGCTCAGCGCGACTACGAGCTTCACTCTCTCTACTTCAGTACTGCGTTCTTGCAGGGGAGCCTGCACGAGGAGATCTGGCTGCGCCGTCCACCTGGCTTCACTGGGACTTTCCCTCCTGGCACCCAGTGGAGCCTCCGACGGCCAGTCTACGGTCTCCGCCAGGTACCACGTGAGTGGCACGACACACTGAGGACTACGCTTGCGGCTCTTGGGTTTGCTCCTTCTACTGCTGACCCGTCGCTGTTTCTTCGCACCGACACTTCCCTGCCGCCGTTCTACATCCTCGTGTACGTCGACGACTTGGTCTTTGCCACAGCGGACACTGCTGGACTCGCCTACGTGAAGTCCGAGCTGCTGAAGAGACACACGTGCACAGACCTGGGTGAACTGCGCAGCTACCTTGGCTTGCAGATCACTCGGGACAGAGCACGCCGCACCATTACCTTGACTCAGTCACACATGGTGCAGCAGGTCCTTCAGCGCTTCGGCTTCACGTACTCCTCGCCTCAGGCCACTCCTCTGCCTACTCGCCACTCACTCTCAGCTCTGCCTTCGGATGAGTCCGTAGAGTCGAGTGGCCCGTATGCAGAGCTTGTTGGCTGCCTCATGTACCTGATGACCTGCACACGACCTGACCTTGCATACCCTCTGAGCATTCTTGCACGCTATGTTGCTCCTGGGAGACACAGACCAGAGCACATGGCTGCAGCGAAGAGGGTATTGCGCTACCTGTGCAGTACGTCGGGCATGGGGCTAGTGCTTGGAGGGCGGAGTCCAGTGGTACTTACAGGTCACGCGGACGCTTCTTGGGCTGACGACCAGGCTACGCAGCGGTCGTCACAGGGTTACACCTTCAGCCTTGGCTCCGGCTCTGTCTCGTGGCGGGCTACTCGCTCGTCTTCGGTTCTCAGCTCGAGTTGTGAGGCTGAGATCTACGCAGGGGCCATGGCTGCACAGGAGCTTCGCTGGCTCACCTACCTGCTGACTGACCTTGGAGAGCCGCCTCGTTCTCCTCCAGTGCTGTACGTAGACAACAAGGCCATGCTGGCCTTGTGTCGAGAGCAGCGTCTGGAGCACAGAACGAAGCACATTGCTCTTCGCTACTTCCTTGCTCGTGAGCTACAGCAGCGTGGACAGTTGCGGCTTGCGTACATGGCCTCTGAGGCCAACACTGCTGATGTGTTCACCAAGGCACTCGCGCCTTGTGACCATCAGCGCTTCTGCACCCAGCTGGGTCTTGTGCCTGTCTTGCCTCACTTGCTCTCCTCTTGACTTTACTTGTACTGTCACATATATATACCTGCTCTTGCTTGTCTAGCTTTATATATATATGTGTGTACTCCTGCATGTGAACTGGCCTTGTGGCCTTGCTCTTGTGCTCGGACTGTGTGGTGACTTTGTGATCCACCCTGAGCTTTGCTTTGCTTTGCTTGACTGGTCTTGTGACCCCTTGTTCTCCCCCACTTTGCCTATGGGGGTGTGTCAGAACATATATGTAGCTTATGCTGTTGTGTAGGCCACAGTGGGGTATACCATAGGGGGTACAACCCAATTAGGGTTTTGCTATTTGTACTCGCTTCACTCATAGTTCATTCATTCTCGTTCTATTCTCCACAATCTCCTTCCAGAACTTGGATGTGAACTTGGGGTCTCGGTCGCTGATGATCGCCGAAGGAATGCCGTGCAGTCGCACGACCATTGAGATGAAGAGGCGCGCAGTTTCTTCGGCTGTGATTGTCGTTCGGCATGGTGCGAAGTGCGCCATTGTCGTGAAGCGATCGACGACGACGAGAACAGCGTCGTTGCCTTTCGGCCTAGCTGGCATCCCCGTGACAAAATCCATCGTCACTTGCTGCCACGGTCGTTCGGGTGTCGAGGGGTTGTAGCAGCCCAGCTGGTCGCTGACGTGTCGATTTCATTGCTTGGCACACCCTGCATGAGGACACATAGCGCTGCACGTCGTTAGATGAATCAGGCCAGTAATATTGACGGTGCAGTAGTTTTTGGGTTTTATCAACCCCGAAGTGTCCGGAGAAGTTCGAATCGTGGATCTCCTGGATGAGAAGTTCACGCAGCAGTCGGTAAGCTAGAACCCAAATCCAGTCGGTTCCGGCTTTTAGGTAATAGTCCCCTTTCTGCGTCGTAGCCTGCTGATGATTTCCCGTCGTGAAGAATGGGTCTGTCGTGTAGCCGTGGGTAAATAGTCCGGTAAGTAACGGGTTCGAGTGGGTGATGAGTACTGCAGCGGATTGTACTGTCGGTCGGGTCAGGGCGTCGGCGATGTTATTAGCCCCTTTTTTGTATGTGATGCGGTAGGTGAAGTGGCTCTCCATGTAGTCCAACCACCGAATTTGACGTGGGTTGAGGTTGGGTTGGGCTCGCAGGTACTGTAGGGACTTGTGGTCCGTGCGAACAGTGACGTCGGCGCCCACCAGGTAGCATCGCCATAATTTAAACGCGTGTATGATGGCGACCATCTCCTTGTCGTGGATCGGGTAGTTGCGTTCGGTTGCCTGCAGCTTGCGTGATTCGTAGGCTATCGGCTGCAACCCGTTCCCAAAATCTTGGAGAAGCACAGCTCCGATGGCGAAATCTGAGGCGTCGGTTACAACTTCGAACGGCTTCGATGGGTCGGCGATGCGCATCACAGGAGGGGAAACGAGGAAATTCTTGAGTTCCTGGAAAGCCGCTTCTGCCTCCTCCCCCCACACAAAATTCTTGTCCTTCTGCAACAGGTCGGTCAGCGGGCCGGTTATCCTCGCCATATTCGGGATAAAACGCCGGACGTAATTCACGAATCCGAGAAAACTCTGGAGCTCCGTGACGTTCGTCGGGGACTTCCACTCCTGTATGGTCTTGATTTTCGCCGGGTCGATTTTCATGTCGTCGCGCGAGATGACGTGCCCCAAAAACTCCAACTCCTGCTTAAAAAACTCGCACTTAGAGCCCTTGGTGATGAGTCGGTTCTCCTGCAGCCGCTTAAACCCTGCATCCAGGTCGCGGAGGTGCTGCTCCCGTGTCTTGCTAAAAATGAGGATATCGTCCTAGTAGACGATGACACTGTCAGATGATTATATTGCTGATGCATATATGTAGGCTGTAGTGGGGTATCCCATAGGGGGTACAACCCAATTAGGGTTGGTACTTGTACCTCTTTCATTCCATACTGCATCTTCATTCCTCGCCTCTATCTCAACATGGTATCGAGCAGGTTCCCTAGTGGGAACTGTTCCTAGGGCCCACCTACTATTCCGTCCTGCCCGGAGCGCGCTCTGCCCTAGCCCGAGTCGCGCTGGGCCCTTTTTTTCCTTTGGCGGCCTGATCGCGTCGAGCCGCCCGCGAAATTCTCACGCGCCACCTACGCGGCCTCGTCGCGCCGCCCCTTGACGGCCGCGCCGCGTCGCGCGTGCCGCCCTCCAGTCGCGCGCCGCCCCCCCCTCTGACCCTCGCGACGCCGGCACCGTCGCTCACGGCCCCGCGATCGCCTGCGACGGCCCCGCCGTCCCCTCTACCGGCCCCTCCGCTGCGCTTGACGGCCCCGCCGTCCCCTCTGCCGGCCCCGCCGCTGCGCTTGACGGCCCCGCCGTCCCCTCTGCCGGCCCCGCCGCTGCACCCGACGGCCCCGCTGTCCCCTCTGCCGGCCCCGCCGCTGCTTCAGACGGCCCCGCCGCTGCACTTGACGGCCCCGCCGTCCCCTCTGACGGCCCCGCCGCTGCACCTAACGGCCCCGCCGTCCCCTCTGACGGCCCCGCCACTGCACCTACCGGCCCCGCTGCTACCCCTGACGGCCCCGCTGCTGCATCTTCAGGCCCCGCCGTCTCACCTGCCGGCCCCGCTGCTGTACCTGACGGCCCCGCCGCTTCACCTACCGGCCCCGCCACTACCCCTAACGACCTCGCAGCTGCATCTCCCGGCCCCGCCGCCCCAGCAACTGCACCACCCCAGCAGCCGAGCCGCCCCAGCAGCCGAGCAGCCCCAGCAACCGAGCTGCCCCAGCAGTCGAGCCGCCCCAGCAGCCGAGTCGCCCCAGCAGCTGAGCCGCCCGAGCCGCCCGAGCCGCCGAGCCGCCCGAGCCGCCCAGCAGCCGACCCGCCGAGCCGCCCGAGCCGCCCGAGCCGCCCGAGCCACCCGAGCCGCCCGAGCCGCCCGAGCCGCCTGCACTGCCCTGTCTGGTGAGCACTGAGCTTTACTCTGCGCACTGCCCTTACCCCACTGCTGTCATGGCTACCCCCAGTGTCCTCACCTTCGACGCTGAGGGCAGAGCCATCGACTTTGACGTGTGGGTAGACGACCTGCTGCTTTTCCTACAGTGCGACAGAGCTGACGGCCTCTCTCTCTTTGATCTCACTTCTGGTGCCTCTCCCGCCCCTGGTGCTACTGAGGATGCCACTGTTCGCTCACAGTGGGCCACACGCGATGCTGCTGTACGTCTTGCTGTGCGTCGCCACCTCCCTCCCTCTGAGCGTGCACACTTTGGGTCGTACAAGAGTGCTCAGACCTTGTACGACGCCGTTATTGCACGCTACTCCACCCCTGCCACTGCTGCACTGAGCCGCCTCATGCTACCGTACCTCTTTCCCGACCTTGCTTCTTTTGCCACAGTCGCCGACCTCATTACCCACCTGCGCACTAGTGACGCTCGCTTCCGCGCTGCGCTTCCTGCTGAGTTCTGCGCCAAGAACCCCCCCCCCCAGTACTTCACTCTCTACTACATTGTCACCCGCCTCCCTGACTCCCTCCGCAGAGTCAGGGACGACTTACTCTCAGTCTGCCCCACCACTCTCACTGTTAACCTCCTCGAGAAGTCCCTCCTAGCAGCCGAGAAGAGCATTCTCGCTGTAGGGGCCTCTCGTGGTGACCCGCGCACCCCCATCTTTGAGGGGTGTTCCCCCTCCCCCCTCCTGCCCTCTGTCGCCTCTGCTGCTACGGCCGACCTAGTTGGTTTTGAGTCGGTCGGTGCGCCGTCTGCCCCCAGTGGGAGACGTCGCTCTAGCAAGGGCAAATGGGGCAGGAGCGGTGGTGGAGGCGGCGGGGGCGGTGGGAGCGGCGGTGGAGGCAGCGGAGGAGGTGGGGGTGGTAGCGGGAGTGGTGTCGGGAGTGGAGGTGGCAGCGGCGGCAGTGGAGGCGGGGGTGGCAGCGGCGGTGGTGGTGGGAGTGGAGGCGGAGGCGGCGGTGGCGGCAGCGACGGTGGGAGTGGCGGTGGCAGCGGAGGTGGTGGCGGCGGCGGCGGAGGAGGTCGTGGCTCATCGCAGAGGAGTGGCTCCGGTGGCGGTCAGCGCCAACAGCAGCGGCAGCAGCGTGGTCAGGAGACCCTCTCCCCGCAGCAGCTCCGTGAGTGGTACGCTGCACGTCAGAGGAGTGGGGGTACTGGTCCGTGCACCTACGTCCTGCGCATGGGCGACCGTGCGGGTGAGCCGTGTGGTGGTCCACACCCCGCCCAGCGCTGCTTCGGCCGCCTGACTGACGCTTGGCGCCGCCAGTTTCCTGACGCCTCTGAGATCCCTCGCTCGGACCAGCTGTCTAGGGCAGGAGTAGCTATCTTTGATCTTGACTTTGATGCGATTCTTGCTGCCATGTATGCTGTGACCATTAGTGAGGAGGGTGACTGTTACCGGTGTTTCCCGCCCGACCCGGGCATTGGTACTGCGGCTCTAGGTGCTGTTGAGGCTGCTGCTCCAAGTGCTGGTGAGGCTGTCGCTCTAGGTGCCAGTGAGTCTGTGTCCTCAGGTGCTGGTGAGTCTGCTCTCTCAGGTACTGCGTCGGCTCCGCCCTCTCTCACCTTCACTCTTGACTCAGGGGCGTCTCGCTCCTTCTTTCGAGACCGCACCATACTCACGCCGCTTAGTCGGCCAGTGGCGGTCTCCCTGGCGGACCCCTCTGGGGGTCCTGTTCTGGCTCGCTACTCCACTGTCCTGCCGTGCCCTGCAGTCCCGTCTGGCGCCCTGTCCGGTCTCTACCTCCCCTCGTTCTCTACGAACTTGGTGGCGGGTGCTGACCTACAGGATGCAGGGGTCGACCAGTTCACCCCTGCACGCCGACGGGACACCCACTGCACGGACGCGGACACGGGTCGACACTTGACCACGTTCACACGTGGGCCGGGGTCGAGCCTGTACACACTCACTGTTCCGTCTCCTCCTCCTGCGTCTGGTCAGGTAGCTGCGTCGGATCAGGTGTTTGCTGCAGCGTCCAGGTCTGGTCCTGAGTCTGCCCCCTGCTCGTGTCGCCTCCTGTCCCACGAGACCCTCCTGTGGCACCACAGGATGGGTCACCCCTCCCTGCCTCGTCTCCGGGGCATGGCCTCTCGCCTTCTTGTCTCTGGCCTTCCCCGGTCCCTCCCTCCCCTTCCTCAGGGGCCTGTCCCTCCCTGTGTTCCCTGTGTCGAGGGTCGCCTGCGGGCTACCCCTCACTCCTCCCCGTTTCCTCTGACGGAGGCTCCGATGCAGACGCTTCACATGGACGTGTGGGGCCCAGCCCGCGTCCGTGGACAGGGTCACGAGCGCTACTTCCTGCTGGTGGTTGACGACTACTCGCGTTACACCACGGTCTTCCCCTTGCGCAGCAAGGGTGAGGTCACTGAGGTGTTGATCGACTGGATCCGCGCAGCTTGTCTCCAGCTCAGGCGGAGCTTCGGCTTGGACTTTCCTGTTTTGCGTCTGCACTCGGACAGAGGCGGAGAGTTCTCCTCCGGCCTTCTGCGAGCCTACTGTCGGGCACGAGGCATCCGCCAGACCTTCACGCTTCCGGACTCTCCACAGCAGAATGGGATTACTGAGCGCCGCATCGGCATTGTCATGGACGTCGCCCGTACGTCCATGGTGCATGCAGCTGCCCCCCATTTTCTGTGGCCGTTTGCGGTTCGGTACGCCGCACATCAGATCAACCTTCAGCCCAGGGTCTCCAGACCGGAGACCTCTCCAGCTTTGCTGTGGACGGGAAAGGTTGGCGATGCGTCGGCGTTCCGTGTCTGGGGATCTCGGGCGTTTGTCCGCGACTTGTCTGCGGACAAGCTGTCCCCTCGTGCTGCTCCTTGCGTCTTCCTGGGTTTCCCCCCTGACGCACCTGGGTGGCAGTTTTACCACCCCACCTCTCGTCGTGTTCTGTCCTCCCAGGACGTCACGTTCGACGAGTCGGTTCCCTTCTACCGGCTCTTCCCCTACCACACTCCGTCCCTCCCCCCCCCGCCCCTCTTCCTGGTCCCAGGTCCCCCCCCGGTAGACCCCCTCCCCCCTCAGGGTCCTGCCCCTTCAGGTGTGTCTCAGGTAGACGCGGTCGAGCCTGTCGAGGTCACTGGTGACTCTGGTGCTGCTGCGGGTGCGGAGCCTCGGGGTGCTGAGACTGGGGGTGCTGAGACTGGGGGTGCTGAGCCTTGGGGTGCTGAGACTGGGGGTGCTGAGCCTGGGGGTGCTGTGCCTGGGAGTACTGTGCCTGGGGGTGCTGAGCCTGGGGGTGCTGAGCCTGGGGGTGCTGAGCCTGGGGGTGCTGTGCCTGGGGGTGCTGAGCCTGGGGGTTCTGCGTCTGGGAGTGTTGCGCCTGCTGCTTCTGTTCCTGGTGGTTCTCCAGACCGGTCTTCGCGACGCGAGCCGCTCTCTCCTCTGGAGCTGCGTGAGTGGTTTGCCCGGCGCTGGAGGCGAGCTGCTGGAGCCGAAGGTACTGCGGGTGCTGGAGGTTCCGTTGCTGCCGAGGGAGCTGGTACCACGGGTCCCGGAGGTGCTCGTACTGAGGGTACTGGAGCTGCCGGGCCCGGGGGTGCCTCTGGAGCTGGAGCTGCTGCGGGTGCTGGCGCTGAGGCTACGACTGTCGGTCCTACTGCGGGTACTTCTGCAGCTGCTGGTGGTGCTGGAGTTGGAGCTGCTACTGGTGCTGGTGCTGCCTCTGGAGGTGTTGGTGCTGTCCCTGCTGTCTCTGGCGGTGCTGCGCGGCCTCGGCCGTACTTCGTTCAGCTCCTTCAGCAGGTTGTTGGTCTCCCGCCTTCCACTGGTCCTTCTCCTCCCGTAGAGTGTCCGCAGCCTGTCCCGTCACAGTCACAGTTACAGCCCGCCTCTCCCCTGCCTTCTCCTTCTCCCTACGCTGGTCCTACTGGAAGTCTTGCTGAGCGTCGTGAGCCTGCGTCCCGCCCTGCGTCGCCAGTCCGAGCTGCTCGCTCTAGTGGTCGCGGTTCGCGTCAGCGTCCTCCTTCTGTCCGTGGCACACACCAGATGTCTCTGCGTCCGTCCACTGCTCCTCTGCGTGCCCCTTTGCCTTCTCCTCCTCAGTCTTCTCTTCCTACACTTGCCGACCCGGAGTCCGACTCTCGCCGTGCTGCCAGTCCTACTGTCACGCGTCTTCTTGCTTCTCTTGTCACTGGCCCTTCCTTTGAGTCCGCTGCTGCGTCTGCCCTACTTGCTGAGCTGGTCGACTTTGCTGCTGCGTGTCGTCTGGACTACGCTGCCAGTCTTGTTGCTGAGTCTGCTGAGTCTGCGTCTGCGTCTGCCTGTCCTCCGTCCGTCGGGGCTGACTGTGCTCTTGGCACGGACGTCCTTGAGGACAGGCAGGAGGAGTTCCAGTGCTTTGCCGCCGCTTTGCCCCATCTCGTGTCCATGCTTGTTGCCCTTGAGGGAGACCCGGATGCTCTAGACCTCCCGACCCCACGCTCTTACGCAGAGGCGATGGCCGGTCCCTACTCCTCTCAGTGGCAGTCAGCCATGGACGCAGAGATGGCTTCCTGGAAGTCCACAGGCACCTACGTTGACGCTGTCCCCCCTCCTGGGGCGAACATCGTCAGTGGCATGTGGATCTTCAGGGTGAAGCGGCCGCCGGGTTCTCCGCCTGTCTTCAAGGCGCGTTACGTGGCTCGTGGCTTCAGTTAGCAACAGGGAGTTGACTTCTTTCAGACCTTCTCCCCGACCCCGAAGATGACCACTCTTTGGGTTCTACTGCACGTCGCTGCTCAGCGTGACTACGAGCTACACTCTCTTGACTTCAGCACTGCTTTCCTGCAGGGCCGCCTGCACGAGGAGATCTGGCTGCGCCGCCCTCCTGGCTTCACTGGGTCGTTCCCTCCTGGTACCCAGTGGAGCCTCCGGCAGCCAGTCTACGGTCTCCGCCAGGCGCCGCGTGAGTGGCACGACACACTGAGGACTACACTTGCGGCTCTTGGGTTTGCTCCTTCTACTGCTGACCCGTCGCTGTTTCTGCGCACCGACACCTCGCTGCCGCCGTTCTACATCCTCGTGTACGTCGACGACCTGGTGTGTGCCACTGCGGACACTACCGCACTCGCCCACGTGAAGTCCGAGCTGCAGAAGAGACACACGTGCACAGACCTGGGTGAACTGACAAGCTATCTTGGCTTGCGGATCACCCGGGACAGAGCATGCCGGACCATTACCCTGACTCAGTCACACATGGTGCAGCAGGTCCTTCAGCGCTTCGGCTTCACGTACTCCTCGCCTCAGTCCACTCCTCTGCCTACGGGACACTCGCTCTCAGCTCTGCCTTCGGATGAGTCCGTAGAGTCGAGTGGTCCGTATCCAGAGCTTGTGGGCTGCCTCATGTACCTGATGACTTGCACTCGACCTGACCTCGCATACCCTTTCAGCATCTTAGCACGCTATGTTGCTCCCGGCTGTCACCAGAAGGAGCACATGGATGCAGCTAAGAGGGTGTTGCGCTACTTGTGCAGTACGTCGGGCATGGGGCTAGTGCTTGGAGGGCGTGAGCGGCCTGTGCTCACTGGGCACTCAGACGCTTCTTGGGCTGACGACCAGGCTACTCAGAGGTCGTCTCAGGGTTACACCTTCAGTCTTGGCTCTGGCTCTGTCTCTTGGCGCTCTACTCGCTCTTCTTCGGTTCTCAGCTCCAGCTTTGAGGCTGAGATCTACGCCACGGCCATGGCTGCCCGGGAGCTTCGCTGGCTCACCTACCTGCTGACTGACCTTGGAGAGCGGCCTCGTTCTCCTCCAGTGCTGTACGTCGACAACAAGGCAACCATTGCCTTGTGTGAGGAGCACAGACTGGAGCACAGGACGAAGCACATTGCTCTGCGCTACTTCCTTGCTCGAGAGCTGCAGCAGCGTGGTCAGCTTCGCCTGCGTTTCGTGGCCACTGAGGCCAACACTGCTGATGTGTTCACCAAGGCACTTCCGCCTCGTGACCATCAGCGCTTTTTCACTCTGCTAGGCCTTGTGCCCACTGGGCCTCACTTGCTTACCTCTTGACCTTGCTTGTACTGCTGCATATATATATCCTTGCTCTTGCTTGTTTAGCACTGTTATATATATATGCTCTGCTGCATGTGAACTGGCCTTGTGGCCTTGACCTTGTGCTCGGAATTTGTGTGGTATCCTTGAGATCCACCCTGAGCTTGCTTTGCTTTGCTTTGCTTGACTGGTTTTGTGACCCCTTGCTCTCCCCCACTTTGCCTATGGGGGTGTGTCAGATGATTATATTGCTGATGCATATATGTAGGCTGTAGTGGGGTATCCCATAGGGGGTACAACCCAATTAGGGTTGGTACTTGTACCTCTTTCATTCCAAACTGCATCTTCATTCCTCGCCTCTATCTCAACAGACACAACGGTCTAGAAGATCCCGAAAAAAACCCTGTTCATGGTCAGTTGAAAGGTCGAGGGCGCGTTCGTGAGGCCGAAAGGCATCACTATAAAATCGTAACTCCCGTAGCGTGTGCGAAACGCAGTCTTGTGACAATCGTCGGCGAAGACTCGAATTTGGTGGTAACCGCCACGTAAATCAATCTTCGAGAAATATCGAGCGCCGCGAAGTTGGTCGAGGAGGTCTTCGGTGCGTGGGATTGGGTAGCGAGACTTGATGGTGACCCGGTTCAGCGCGCGATAGTCGATGCACATGCGAAGCCCGCCGTCCTTCTTCGGGGTGAACAGAATCGGTGCTGCGAAAGGAGATGTGCTGGCCCGAATGAACCCTTTCTCCAACAGTGCGTCAATTTGTCGTCGCAGCTCCTCGAGTTCCGGCTGGGTCAACCGCCACTGTGTCCGAACAGTCGGCTGCGCGCCAGGTTTCAGCTGGATTTTGTGGTCCTCAGGTCTCTCTGGTGGCAGTCCAGGTGGCAGGTCGTCGGGGAAGATTTCCGGGTACCTCCGAATCAGCTCCGCTAAATCTGAAGGTATAGCTGCACACAGCTTCTCGATGTCCTTTCCGTCGGTGTCAAACGCCAACTCGCGTAAGCAAACAGCGAACAGTTACGCACGGCGAGCTATAGTGATAGCTTTGACGCACGGGGCTTGAATGTAGTCAGGCGTCCATGCATGTAGTTTAATTAGCCCCTCGTGCTTGTTGATGCTGCACGATCCCGTTGTCCAGACGATGACGGGGTTGTGCCGTCGCAGCCAATCGCGTCCCTGTAGCACGTCGCAGCCGTCCAATGTTGTCGCGAGAAACTTCATGCTGAAGCCGAAATCGTCGCCGCACTCAATCCTGACCGTCCGTGTTTCTTCCGTTATCGCCAGAGGCGTCCCATCCACGAGGCGAGCGTCAATTTCGGGCAGACACCTGTCAAGTTGCACCTTGCATTTTTTTTGCGCTCGCCAAGTTGAAGAGGCTATGGCTGGCCCCTCCATCGACGAACATTTTCAAGTTATTTTTTAACACCTTACCAGCGACCAGCACAGGGTGATCCACATGTGTATCCCCGTTATTCGGCCGAGTGTGATCGATTGCATGAATCGGAACCACGACTCGGTGGGGATGGTGGGGTTCGGGCGACGGAGCATAGTCAGTAAAGGGCCCGCTAATTAATGACTCTTCCCATTTCCCTGCTCCTTCCTGTCGTTCCCCGTCAGCGGCGTTTTCTCGTGGCAGTCTCTCATGTAGTGACCCGTCTTCCCACACCGGTAACACGGTCCCTTAGGAGGGCGGTCGGGTGTATGGACGGCGTTGATCGTGGCCCGATGGGTCTGGCCACGAAAGCGGTTTTCTTCCCGGGAAGCTGCTCTCGCGTACTGCATCAGCGCATCTGTAGACTCCGCCAGCCGTACTGCTGCAAGGAATGACGTCGGGCGGCCCCTGCGAACCTCGTACTGTCAGAACATCATAGCTTACTTATTTGTGTAGGCTATAGTGGGGTATCCCATAGGGGGTACAACCCAATTAGGGTTTCATATTTGTACTCACTTCATTCATAGTTGATTCATTCTCGTTCAGTTTTCCACATGGTATAGAGCAGGTTCCCCTGTGGGAACTGTGCCTAGGGCCCACCACTCGAAATCTTTTTTTTCCTGCCCGAAGCGCACTCATCCCGAGTCGCGCCTCAGGCCACTCCTTCCCCGAGCCGCCCTAGCGGCCGGCCTTACCCTCGCGGCCCCGCCACCCAGTGAACACGGCCCCGCCGCCTCTTCTCTCGCGGCCCCGCCGCCCAAGCGTTCGCGGTCCCCGCCGTCCCTGATCTCGCGGCCCCGCCGCCCGAGCGCTCCCGGCCCCGCCGCCCCTGATACGCGGCCCCGCCGCCCAAGCACTCGCGGCCCCCGCCGTCCCTGATCTCGCGGCCCCGCCGCCCCAACGCTCCTGGCCCCGCCGCCCCTGATACACGGCCCCGCCGCCCCAGCGCCCGCGGCCCCGCCGTCCCTGATCTCACGGCCCCGCCGCCCCAGCGCTCACGGCCCCGCCGCCCCTGATCTCGCGGCCCCGCCGCCCCAGCGCTCCCGGCCCCGCCGCCCCTGTTACGCGGCCCCGCCGCCCCAGCGCTCCTGGCCCCGCCGCCCCTGATACGCGGCCCCGCCGCCCCAGCGCCCGCGGCCCCGCCGTCCCTGATCTCACGGCCCCGCCGCCCCAGCGCTCACGGCCCCGCTGCCCCTGATCTCGCGGCCCCGCCGCCCCAGCGCTCCCGGCCCCGCCGCCCCTGTTACGCGGCCCCGCCGCCCCTGGTCTCGCGGCCCCGCCGCCCCAGCACTAACGGCCCCGCCGCCCCTTGCTCTCGCGCCGCCCGACTGCAGCAGCCGAGCCGCCCGGAGCAGCCGAGCCGCCAAGGAGCCGCCGAGCCGCCCAGCAGCAGCCGAGCCGCCCAGCAGCAGCCGAGCCGCCCGGAGCCCCCGAGCCGCCCAGCAGCAGCCGCGCCGCCCGGAGCCGGTGAGCCGCCCAGCAGCCGCCGAGCCGCCCAGCAGCAGCCGAGCCGCCCAGCAGCAGCCGAGCCGCCCGGGAGCCGAGCCGCCCAGCAGCCTAGCGGCCGTTTCGCCAGGCGACCTTCCTCCCGAGCAGCCCGACCTGCCCTGCCGGGTGAGCACTACACTGCTGTCACTGCGTACCCTTCCCCTACTGCTTGCACTGCTCCACTATCATCGTCATGGCTACACCCAGTGTCCTCGCTTTTGACGCTGAGGGTCGAGCCATTGACTTAGAGGTCTGGCTCGACGACCTGCAGCTGTTTTTACAGTGCGACAGGGCCGACGGTCTGTCTCTCTTTGACCTCACCTCTGGCGCCGTCCCTGCCCCTGCTGCTGATGCTGACGCCACTGTTCGCTCTCAGTGGGCCACGCGCGATGCTGCTGCACGTCTTGCTGTGCGTCGCCACCTGCCTACCGCTGAGCGCGCGCACTTTAGCCAGTACAAGAGTGCTCAGACCTTGTACGACGCTGTAGTTGCGCGCTACTCCTCCCCTGCCACTGCTGCACTGAGCCGCCTCATGCTCCCCTTCCTCTTCCCTGACCTTGCCGCCTTTCCCACTATCGGTGATCTCATCACGCACCTCCGCACTAGTGACACTCGCTACCGCGCTGCGCTTCCTGCTGACTTCTGCGCCAAGAACCCCCCCCCCATGTACATCACTCTCTACTTCTTAGTCACTCGCCTCCCTGACTCCCTTCATGTAGTCCGGGACCACTTCCTCGCGGTGTGTCCCACCACCCTCACAGTCGACAGCCTCGAGAAGGCCCTCCTTGCAGCAAAGAAGAGCATAGTTGCTGTAGGAGCCTCTCGAGGTGACCCCCGCGCCCCCATCTTTGAGGGGTGTTCTCCTTCCCCTCTCCTGCCCTCTGTCGCCTCTGCCGCTGCGGCCGACCTCGTTGGTCTTGAGTCGGTCGGTGCGGCGTCCGCCCCTAGCGGGAGACGCCGCTCTGGCAAGGGCAAGGGGGGCAAGGGAGCGGGTGGGGCCAGTGGGGGCGGTGGCGGTGGAGGTGGAGGCGGCGGAGGGAGTGGGGGTGGCGGTGGAGGTGGTAGCGGGGGTGGGGGTGCTAGTGGCGGCAGTGGAGGCGGGAGTGGCGGCGGCGGTGGCGGTGGTAGCGGAGGTGGCGGAGGTGGCGGCGGTGGAGGTGGAAGCGGGGGCGGTGGAGGCGGAGGCGGGGGTGGCGGAGGTGGAGGTGGTCGGAGTGGAGCTTCGCAGCGGAGCGGCACTGGTGGCGGTCATCGCCAGCAGCAGCAGCAGCAGCAGCGTTCTCGCGACGTCCCCACCCCTCAGCAGCTCCGTGAGTGGTACGCGCAGCGTCAGCGCGGTGGGGGTTTTGGTCCCTGCACCTACGTTCTCCGCACTGGCGACCGCACTGGAGAGCAGTGTGGGGGTGCCCACTCCGCCCAGCGCTGCTTTGGCCGCCTGACGGACGCTTGGCGTCAGCAGTTCCCGGAAGCCGCGGAGATCCCCCGCTGGGGAGAGCTGTCTAGGGCTGGTGTAGCTATCTTTGATCTTGATTTTGATGCTATCCTTGCTGCCATGTATGCTGTGACCATTAGTGAGGAGGGTGACTGTTACCGGTGTTTCCCGCCCGACCCGGGCATTGGTACTGATGCTCCAGGTGCCAGTGAGGCTTCTGCTCTAGGTGCCAGTGCGTCTGTGCTCTCAGGTGCTCGTGAGACTGCTCTCTCAGGTACTAGTGCGTCTGCGCTCTCAGGTACTGCGTCGGCTTCGGCCTCCCACACCTTCACTCTTGACTCTGGAGCGTCTCGCTCTTTCTTTCGGGACCGCACCACACTTACGCCGCTTAGTCGGCCGGTTGCGGTTTCCCTGGCTGACCCCTCTGGGGGTCCTGTCCTGGCTCGCTTCTCCACGGTCCTCCCGTGTCCGGCGGCTCCCTCTGGCACCTTGTCTGGTCTCTACCTCCCCTCGTTCTCTACGAACTTGGTGAGTGGTGCTGACCTACAGGATGTGGGAGTCCACCAGTTCACCCCTGCTAGTCGGCGAGTGACGAACTGCACGGAGGCTAGCACGGGTCGTCACCTGGCTACGTTTACACGTCAGCCAGGGTCGAGCCTGTACACACTGACCACTGCTTCTCCTCCAGGTGCTGAGTCTGGTAGAGTCCCTTCGTCTGGTCAGGTGTTTGCTGCAGCGTCCAGGTCTGGTCCTGAGTCTGCCCCCTGTTCGTGTCGCCGTCTGTCTCACGAGACCCTCCTCTGGCACCACCGTCTTGGCCACCCCTCCCTGCTTCGGCTCAGAGGCATGGCCTCCCGTCTTCTTGTGTCTGGTCTCCCCCGGTCTCTACCTCCCCTTCCTCAGAGCCTTGGCCCTGCCTGTGTCCCCTGTGTCGAGGGGCGCCAGCGTGCTGCCCCTCACTCCTCCCAGTTTCCTCCGACAGAGGCTCCGTTGCAGACGCTTCACATGGACGTGTGGGGCCCTGCCCGCGTCCGTGGACAGGGTCACGAGTGCTACTTCCTGCTGGTGGTTGACGACTACTCGCGTTACACCACACTCTTCCCCTTGCGCAGCAAGGGTGATGTCACTGAGGTGCTGATCGACTGGATCCGCGCAGCTCGTCTCCAGCTCAAGCAGAGCTTTGGCTCGGACTTTCCTGTGTTGCGTCTGCACTCGGACAGAGGCGGAGAGTTCTCCTCTGGCCTTCTGCGTGCCTACTGTCGTGCGCGAGGCATCCGCCAGACCTTCACGCTTCCGGACTCCCCGCAGCAAAATGGGATTGCAGAGCGCCGCATTGGCATGGTCATGGACGTCGCTCGTACGTCCATGATGCATGCGGCTGCCCCCCATTTTCTGTGGCCGTTTGCGGTCAGGTACGCAGCGCATCAGATCAACCTCCACCCCAGGGTCTCCAGGCCGGAGACCTCCCCAGCGCTGCTGTGGACGGGGAAGGTTGGCGATGCGTCGGCGTTCCGGGTCTGGGGATCTCGGGCGTTTGTCCGCGACTTGTCTCCGGACAAGCTGTCCCCTCGCGCTGCTCCCTGCGTCTTCCTGGGGTTCCCCCCCGACGCCCCTGGGTGGCAGTTCTACCACCCCACCTCTCGACGTGTTCTGTCCTCCCAGGACGTCACGTTCGACGAGTCGGTACCCTACTACCGCCTCTTCCCCTACCGCACTCCGTCCCTCCCCCCGCCCCTGCTCTTCTTGGTACCAGGTCCCCCCCCGGTAGACCCCCTCCCCCCTCAGGGTCCTGCCCCTTCAGGTGTGTCCCAGGTAGACGCGGTCGAGCCTGTCGAGGTCACTGGTGACTCTGGTGCTGCTGCGGGAGCTGAGCCTGGGGGTGCTGAGACTGGAGGTGCTACGCCTGCGGGTGCTGAGCCTGGGGGTGCGGAGTCTGGAGGTGCTGAGCCTGGGGGTGCTGAGCCTGGGGGTTCTGAGCCTGGGGGTGCTGAGCCTGGAGGTGCTGAGCCTGGGGGTACAGAGCCTGGGGGTGCTGTGCGTGGGGGTGCTGAGACTGGGGGTGCTCCGCCTGGAGGTGCTTCGTCTCGCCGAGAGCCACTCTCCCCTCAGGAGCTACGTGAGTGGTTTGCCAGGCGCTGGAGGCGTGCTGCTGGTGCTGGAGGTTCTTCGGCTGCAGAGGGTACTGCTGCCGAGCGTCGCGGCGGTGCTCGTACTGTGGGTGCTGGAGCTGCTGGGTCTGAGGGTTCTCCTGGAGCTGGTGCTGCTGAGGGTGTTGACGCTGAGACTGCCGCTGGAGGTCCGACTGGTGGTGCTCCTGGTGGTGCTGCTGGAGGTTCTGGAGCTACTGGAGGTGCTGCTGGAGCGGGTACTCCTGCTTGGGGTACTAGTGCAGTCCCTGCTGTTTTTGGCGTCGCCGCGCGGCCCCGGCCGTACTTCGTTCCGCTCCTGCAGCAGGTTCTTGGTCTTACACCTTCTCCTGGTCCTCCTCCTCCTCCCTTAGAGGGTCCACAGCTTGTCTCGTCACAGTCACAGCTACAGCCTGCCTCACCTTTGCCTGCTCCTTCTCCCTACGCTGGTCCGACTGGACGTCTTACTGAGCGTCGTGAGCCTGCGTCTCGTCCTGCGTCGCCTGTTCGTACTGCGCGCACTAGTGGTCGTGGTTCGCGACAGCGTCCGCCTCCTGTCCCTGGCACGCACCGGATGTCTCTACGTCCGTCTACTGCTCCTCTGCGTGCCCCTTTGCCTTCTCCTCCTGCTTCCTCTCTTCCTGCTCTTGCCGACCAGGAGTCGGACTCTCTTCGTGCTGCCAGTCCTACTGTCACGCGTCTTCTTGCTACTGCTGTCACTGACCCTTCTTTCGAGTCTTCTGCTGCGTCTGCCCTTATCGCTGAGCTCGTCGACTTTGCTGCGCGCTGTCGTCTAGACTACGCTGCTAGTCTTGTCGCTGAGTCTGAGTCTGCCTGTCCTCCGTCCGTCGGGGGTGAGTGTGCCCTTGGCACGGACGTCCTTGAGAAAAGGCAGGAGGAGTTCCAGTGTCTGGCCGCCGCTTCACCTCATCTCGCGTTTGTACTGCTAGCCCCTGAGGGAGACCCGGATGCACTAGACATCCCGACTCCGCGCTCTTACGCGGAGGCGATAGAGGGTCCCTACTCCTCTCAGTGGTAGGCAGCTATGGATGCAGAGATGGCTTCCTGGAAGTCCACAGGCACCTACGTCGACGCTGTTCCCCCTCCTGGGGCGAACATCGTCAGTGGCATGTGGATTTTCAGGGTGAAGCGGCCGCGGGGTTCTCTGCCTGTCTTCAAGGCGCGTTACGTGGCTCGTGGCTTCAGTCACCGGCAGGGGGTTGACTACTTTTAGACCTTCTCCCCCACCCCGAAGATGACCACTCTTCGGGTACTGCTGCACGTTGCTGCTCAGCGTGACTACGAGCTACACTCTCTCGACTTAAGCACAGCTTTCTTGCAGGGCAGCCTGCACGAGGAGATCCGGCTGCGTCGCCCACCTGGCTTCACTGGGTCTTTCCCTCCTGGTACCCAGTGGAGTCTCCGGCGTCCAGTCTACGGTTTCCGCGAGGCGCCACGTGAGTGGCACGACACACTGAGGACTACGCTTGCGGCACTTGGGTTTGCTCCTTCTACTGCCGACCCGTCGCTGTTTCTGCGCACCGACACCTCTCTGCCCCCGTTCTACATCCTCGTGTACGTCGACGACTTGGTCTTTGCCACAGCTGACACTGCTGGACTTGCCTACGTGAAGTCCGAGCTGCAGAAGAGACACACATGCACCGACCTGGGTGAACTGCGCAGCTACCTTGGCTTGTAGATCACCCGGGACAGAGCACGCCGCACCATTACCCTGACTCAGTCACACATGGTGCAGCAGGTCCTTCAGCGCTTCGGCTTCTCGTACTCCTCGCCTCAGGCCACTCCTCTGCCTACTCGCCACTCGCTCTCAGCTCTGCCTTCGGATGAGTCCGTAGACTCGAGTGGCCCGTATGCAGAGCTTGTTGGCTGCCTCATGTACCTGATGACCTGCACACGACCTGACCTTGCATACCCTCTCAGCATTCTCGCACGCTATGTTGCTCCTGGGAGACACCGACCAGAGCACATGGCTGCAGCGAAGAGGGTGTTGCGCTACTTGTGCAGTACGTCGGGCATGGGGCTAGTGCTTGGAGGGCGCAATCCAGTGGTCCTCACTGGGCACGCGGACGCTTCTTGGGCTGACGACCAGGCTACGCAGCGGTCGTCACAGGGTTACACCTTCGGCCTTGGTTCCGGCTCTGTCTCGTGGCGCGCTACTCGCTCGTCTTCTGTTCTCGGCTCCAGTTGTGAGGCTGAGATCTACGCCGGGGCTATGGCTGCTCAGGAGCTTCGCTGGCTCACCTACCTGCTCACCGACCTTGGAGAGCCGCCTCGTTCTCCTCCAGTCCTGTACGTAGACAACAAGGCCATGCTGGCCTTGTGTTGATAGCAGCGACTGGAGCACAGGACAAAGCACATTGCTCTCCGCTACTTTCTTGCTCGTGAGCTGCAGCAGCGTGGACAGTTGCGACTTGCGTACGTGGCCTCTGAGGCCAACACTGCTGATGTCTTCACCAAGGCACTTGCGCCTTGTGATCATCAGCGTTGCTGCACGCTTCTGGGTCTTGTGCATGTCTTGCCTCACTTGCTCACTTCTTGACCTTGCTTGTACCTTGACCTATATATACTCTTGCTCTTGCTTGCTTGACTCTTGTATATCTCTATATATGATCTTGCATGCGAACTGGCCTTGTGGCCCTTGACCTTGCGCTCGGAATGTGTGGTGACTTTGTGATCCACCCTGAGCTTTGCTTTGCTTTGCTTGACTGTCTTGTGACCCCTTGTTCTCCCCCACTTTGCCTATGGGGGTGTGTTAGAACATCATAGCTTACTTATTTGTGTAGGCTATAGTGGGGTATCCCATAGGGGGTACAACCCAATTAGGGTTTCATATTTGTACTCACTTCATTCATAGTTGATTCATTCTCGTTCCGTTTTCCACACGTACTGTATCTCATATTTGAGGCCGCTGATATACTTATCTAGCCGCTCAGCTTCCGACATGTCATCAACTTGGTCGGCGAGGCCCATAAATGAGGCCGTGCAGTCTTGGACAGAAGCCATCTGCGACCATGCACGCAGCTTCATGCGAGCTTGCTCCGAGGCGGATACGTGCTCGAAGCGATCTCGTAAGGCTGCGCCCCACTCCTTCCACGTGCGTATCGTGGTCACTCCGAAGATCGATTGTGCCACTTGATTAGTCACTGTTGAGGTCCCGTCTGCCGCATGCGTCACACCTGTCGGCGTCTCTGTTTCCAAGGTTCGGCGCCACCACTCAAGCGCTGCACCTCGAAGAAGTGAAACTGCGTAATTAATACGCGTGGCGTCGTCATTAACTCCGGTTGCAGTAAAAAAGACCTCGACCCCGAATAGCCACCCTTTTACCGTAATCGTCTTGTCCGTAGGATTAAACGGGGGCGGGTTACCGGGCTTGATCTTGATCGTCGTTACTACAACTGGTGCTACTGCCGCTCGCTGCCTGTCCTCCTCTTCGAAGTCACGTGTGAGCGCATCCAGCGGATTGCTCATCGCCTGACGGTTGCCCTCGCCTTCGTCCACAGGCGACTCCTGACGCGCTTCACCTCGCGTCTGGCGTAGCTCGGCGCAGGGCCCGTGCTAGGTTTTGGGGCATCCTGAGGCCTCAGGGCAACTTTCCAGAATCTGAAAAAATGCCCTGATTTGTCAGGGCAAATTTTCAGAGGCTTCCTGTGATTTCAGGGCTTCTACAGAAATTTATCCTGGCCTGTCAGGGCAAAAATACAAGTGTTCAGGGTTCTGTTCTTAACACTTCTAGTCTAGTGGCACCAGCATTGTCCTACTCTTGCCAATTAATCAATGGTAAATAATACCACCAAACTAGACCAGAGAATACCACCGCTACCGTATTCTAACAGCAACACTGGAAAGGTGCATGCATGGCACACGAGGAGACGAGTGTTGCCTTGCCCAACCTGTTCCCAACCTGAATTGGCTGGTGGGTTGCAGGGGGTCGGACTGTCAATGGAATTGTGCGAAGGTTGGAAAAAGATACGGGGAAAAAAATCCCCGGGGAGAAAATTCAACGGGAACAGGCCCTCCCTCCCCCCCCACCTCCCCCCCTTCATCCCCCCTTTTAAAAACGCGTCAGGGCAAGCCTCGGCATTCATCCTGACGCTTCAGGGAAGAACACCACGGCCATCCTGAATGTCCAGGGCATTTCACATAACAACACCCTGAGACCACAGGGTTAAAATTGACACTATTCTGAAATTACAGGGCAAATTTAAAACTGCATCCTGATTTCAGGGTAATCAGGATATTTTGCCCTGATAACGTGGGGCCTGGCTCGGCGTTTTCCTCCCGCAGTGTTGTTGTTGGAAACAATAAGTCTTAGTGCGCTTCTGTCGTGTCGAAACCCAAGACACTAGCGAAGCAGTCCGAATCGAAGCATCGAGTCAAACCTCGGAGGTTAGGGTAACCGCCTGGAGGTTACGAGAAAGTCAAAGGTCAGCGACCTTTGACTTGACAATTACAGCGCGACAGTTAAGGACACACAACTGACTCGTGACAGAGAAGTTGCCCGAGTCGCACGGTATCGAATCGCAACAGCAATACAGTTATCTATCTATTCGCATTCCCTGTACCCTTATATAAAACCTTGTATTTGCTTGTTTGATTTAATCTACTTTGCTCTCACACACTAGTGCAAGGTCGGTTCACAAGATTCATTAAACGCTTTCGCTATTACAAGTTTCCTACCCAGAGTTATCCTCTGCAAAGATCCTTAAAGGGCCTTCTCAGCCCAACATTGTATGAGAGCTGACAGGGGAAACTCTAAACTTTTTATATTACAAGACATGGCAACAAACAAGGAAAGGAGCTCCCCTAATGGCTCCTCGGGCACTACTCCTACTCCACCACCAACCTCTGGCCTGCAGACAGAGGAAGGCACGGCAGTAAGACCAAGGGGAACGTCAACCGAGACCCCCACGAATCACCCTTCTGACTTCGACCAGAGCATGATGGAGAAATTCTTCTCCTTCATGTCCTTCTACGAGCAACACCAGTAGTCGGGACCTGCACAGACACACAACAGCAACAACGGAGCGACACCCATGAGCCTTGATGGGTCGTCATATGCGCGAGGGAATCAACAGCAGCAACCCACCTTCGCCCCGTACGAGCGCGGGTCGATCAGCTTCCTGCCTCAACCTTCACCTGCGCAAGACAAACCAATGGACGCGTTACAAGTTCAGTCGCAATTCGCGCATGTTTTGAAATTACAAACGTCAAGACCTTTCGACGGAAAGGACTTCTTCACCTGGTCCTTTGAATTCGAGCTGATGATGGAGGGCGCGCAGATACTCGGCTTCTTCAACGGATCCCTGCAGTATCCAGCAAACGGCACACAGTATGAGAAGCAGCAGTATACGTATCAATCGATGATGGCGTATACTATTCTACTGAGAAACATCACACCAACCCAGCAGCAGAACATTCGCTCTTACCGGAACTTCGGCAACTCGGCGGAACTTGCGTACGGCCATCTGAAGAACCTGTATCAGGCAACAGACAGTGTAAACCAGAGCAGGTTAATGGCGCAGTTGACAACAGTTGAAATGAAACCAGGAGAAAAGGGGTTGGCGTATATCAGCCGATGTCGCGAATTGCGCGACAAGCTTCTTCGATGCGGAGGATCAATCTCTGAAGACGCCTTCGTAACAGTCGTCATCGGTGGCCTCGGTCCTCAGTGGCGCGCCACCAAAGCAATTCTTCGAGCACACGGGAGGATCTCCGAAGCGGCACTCTGCGCCGAAATCCACGACGAGCAGCAGGATATGGACCTGCAAGAAGAAAGGCACAAGAAAAGGGCATTAGCACCGGAGCTCGCTTTCCACACTCAGCGACGACACAACAACTACAACAACCGACAGCAGCAACCGAAGTCAGTACCTCCGTTTTGTCACATCTGCAAAACATCAGGACACCCCCGCACGCATTGCCCGTCTCGTCAGACAACACCACAGCGATAACTGCGGCCTTCAAGCTCACAAGTTGCTTCAACGAAAGCAAGTCCGACAACAACGATTCAAGCTTCAACGACTTCAACTGGACAACCTGCACAAGGAGCAAGAAACATAGTCAACTGCATGGTAAAGATAAACGACTCTTGCATAACAGAGTCACCACCCCATTACTCACGAGAAGAAGAGGTCAACAACAGGACGCCTCGCCGCGAATCACTCCACCTGAATCCGACTTATGCCGCCATCGCTCAAAGTGAACCGTCCGGCCAAGACACTTGGTTCTTGGATAGTTGCTGCGGGCAACACATGTGCTCGTCCGGGCGCTTCGTACAATGCGAACATCGACTCCAACGAGAAGTGATCATCACGGTCGCCAACAATCAAAACCTGCGCACACGACGACAAGGAGTGGTACAGCTTCAGTCAAAAGAAACAAATGTCATACTGCACATGTCTAAGGTACTCATTGCTGAAGGACTCGGTTACAACTTACTGAGTGTTAGCCAGTTGATGGCGAAGGGGATTCACCTGGAAGCCGACAGCACCACCCAGGAGTTCAAGCTATACCACGAGAAAGGCGGTCTCTACATCGGGAAGGCAGTGCTGAAGAACAACGTTTTCGTCCTCGACTTCGTTCCTGACCTGCAGACAGCGACGCCATCGTGAATTTTACTGATTGGACACACCCTCCTGATCTCGACCCCGACTTCAGCCCGGGAGGTTTCTGGTACTCCCACACTATCCCTGAAGCAGAACGAACAAGAGCGTTAGCGACGATTCAACAAACATCGGCAGCAGCAACAACATCGGGAGGAGCAACAACATCGGCAGCAGCAACAACATCGGCAGCAGAGACAACATCAGCAGCAGCAGGAACAACGACACCGGTCACAGTCGACGAAGCACCACCAAAACCAGCGCAACAGCTGAATCCGACTCAACGTGAAGTCCACCGAAGCGCCAACTTCGTCGCCAGTTTTTACTCCAACTCCGACGCATACCAACGTTCACCCGGACACCGCGCCTCTAAAAAGATCTGGCACGCGCGCACAGGACATGCAAGCAACACGGTTTTAAATAACACGATAAGAGCAGGAGTTCTTGACAAAGACTCCCTACTTCTACCCGATGGCAGAGAACTCCAGAAGGCACGAGGGACTTGCCTTCTATGTCCCGAAGCTGACTTACCTCATCGACCGTTCGCTCCACATCACAACCCGAGCGCTCCAGCGTACGCACCACTCGAAAAGGTCTACAGCGACATCCTCTACAATCGCGAACCAGGACAAGTTAACTACAACTACACCATCACCTTCATCGACGCCGCCACTCGATATGTCTGGCATCGTAACCTACCCAGCCGCGACATGGCACTCGCAGC